ATTTCTTTCCCCCTCAAATATTTCAACACAGATGTTCAGAAGTAGAAAAGCAGTAACTTCACCTTCCCATCCTCTGGAGGATATGGCAACATGCAGTAAAATCTTCAAAGATAGGCATTAAAGACAGGAGGAAGAAAGGGAGGCACAGAGCAAGTATAATCAGTTCCTGAAAACTTGACAGTGTGCTGATGTGAGAGAATAAGAACTTTAAAACAATTCTCTCAACTGTACAAAAGAAAAAAGTACTTTTTCACTCAAATTGTTTTTTACCTTTGAACAGTAAATTTTTTTCTTTAATAAAAATTAACAAAACATAACATCAATAGGATGCCTAAATCAGTTCGGCCTACAAGCTTTGCTGAAACATCTTCAACAAACATTCCCCAGGTGAATTCTCTACATAAAGGCACTATACTAGATTCTGAGAACACAAGAAATAAAATCTGTTTTTTGGCTTTGATGAATTCACAGACTACAATGAGGAAAGGACAGGAGTCTACTACTTATGATCCAAAGTGATGCAAGTGGTGCAAGATCACAGGAGCAGGGCCCATAATCCCTCCTGAGGCTTAGCTGGGCAAGCATGGGATACAATCAGATGGTGAGAGGTTGCACAGAGGAACAGAAATTTGTATTGGCACAAACAAAGTAGGGGGTTCACTGAATGCTGAAGTGGGAGAACAGTTCTGTCAAAATGAACAACAGCAAGGTTGCTCAGAATTGCAGAATGTGTTTCAAGGTCTTAAGAACTCTAGAAATGACACCTGTGTATGTCAGGTGGAAATGAGGGAGGGGAAGAAAGGATTAGCTAGCTTCAAGACCTGGTTTAGAGCCAACTAGACAATACATTGTTTACCACATGGAGGAGTCAGAATCCAACATAGTGAATATGATTTCTTACCTGTGATGTCTTGATCTACATTATGATTGATTTTGAGGCACACTGCAAGTATTTTATTATTAGCAGGAAAACCAGGACTAAGGGAATAATTTACCTTTGAAATATATTACAGCACATGAGAATGTCATTCTCACTCATGTGTATTCTGATATGCCTTCTTGAGTTGGAAAGAAGAGGCAGAGTTAAAGCTGGCCATGTCTGAATTTGCAAATAATTCTGGACACAGCAGTGGATGTGAATGGGCCTGCTTAGATGAATAGCATCCACCATCTATCATACTTGTCATAATAGGAAAAAGGTCACAAATTACTGCTACAGGCAATTGGGATCCAGTGAAGGTTTGTAAGCATGGGTGGAATGATTAAAACTGTGTTTCTGGAAGTTAACTCTGGAAATAGGGTGTAAGTATTATAATTACAGATGTCTAGATCAATCAAGAGATGGATAAATCATTCTCCAAAGAAAATGTTTTCAATTATTTTAAAGCTGTTTGAATCTCAGATTATGGCTTGTCTTTTTAGTGGTCATCATTCTGTATTTATTTGCCAGGCCCTGAAGTTTTGTAATGGGCTCCAAGATAACTTCAAATCTCTTGAAAATGTAGACATTTAATTATTTTCATCAGATTCTCAAAGGTGGAAATCACTACAACTAGGTGAAAATCCTTGGGGGCAGGAATCATGTCTTATTAAAACTGGTGGGTCACCAAGCCTTGCACAAGGATTGTTGTTGTTGTTGTTGTTGTTATGTGCCGTCGAGTCGGCACAAGGATTAGTACATTGTAATGGCCTAATAAATGGACTGTAGTGACCCCTATGCTTCAGTCTCCTGTTTTTTTTTTTCCCCTCATTGTCTTCTTGCCTGCATGGTTACTGTTGAGAAATCCAAGCTAAGTCTTATTGGTTGCCCCTCGTAGGTAACTTTTCATTTTTCCTGCGCTGCTTTCATGATTCTTTCTTTGCCTTTGGTTTTGGTGAGTTTGATGATGATAAATGTCTTGGTGATTTTCTTTTGGGGTCTCTCCTGTTTGGGGTTCACTGGACTTTCTGAATGGATATATTCTCATCTTTCATCATACCAGGAAAATTCTCTTCCAACAAATCTTCAACAATTTTCTCTGTGGTTTTATTTGTCTCTTCCTGTTCTAGAATTCCGATTACACGTAGGTTATTCCTTTTGGTGGTATCCCACATGAACCTTAGATTTTCTTCATTTTGATCCTTTTTCTGATTGATCTCTTTCCAAAGAAGTATTCCGGTATTTGCCTTCAATCTCACTAATTCTGTCTTCCATTGCTTCAATTCTATTCCTTTACCCTTTCAATGTTTTATCTATTTCTGAAAATTTAGTATTAATCTTCTGGATTTCTGTGTGTAGATTTTGTATCATTTCTAATTTTTCATTTATTTTGTCATTTTTTTCTTGTATTGTCTTTCAAAATTGTTCTAGGGTCTTCTCTGTGTTTTCCTCAATTTTGTCAGTGTTTTCCTTGATCAGCCTCTCAATTTGTTGAAGGTACCTAAATATAATTCTTTTGAATTCCTTATCAGGGAGTTCTAATACTGCATCTTCCTCAGGGATGTGTTTTGTGTCTGTATCCTGGTCCCTTGTTTCTCCTGCTTTATCTTGCTTCTTTGTGTGGACTGTGATGCTCTGTTGTCTCAGAGGCATTGTGATGTTTTGTATTTATATTTAATTGGTGATTATATGTTGTTAGAGTGACTTGCCCACGATTTTCATTTTATTTGTATGTTATCTATGCAAGCAGGGTACTGTGCTATGCTCCTCTATTCACCAATTGGCAGCACTTATACATTCACCACCTGTTGTTAGCCTTCCATATGTCCCTGCCATCCTTGGCAAATGGAGCCTATTCTTAGGTCCCTGGTATCTGAATGAGAATGCTGTCACTTTAAAATCCAAAATGGCTGCCACTTGTAAAGATTCAAAATGCCTACACTCTTGGTCACTTTAAATATCCAAAATGGCTGCTGTGTGTAAACAATCAAAATGGCTATACCCTCTGGACAGTGGGAAGTCCATAGTTCAGATTGTCTCCCCACTTGCTGTTTTCCTTCCTAGTCACAGGCTACCAGTGCAGTCATCCCTGCAGGCCTTGGTGACCAGGGCTGGTCTTCAGGTCAATTCTCAGGTCCCAACTGTTGGTCCTGTCAGAGTAGCTGACAGTCCGCAGCTCCGACCGTCTCTGTATTCACTGTTTTCGTTCAGATTTTTCCACTAGTTGGTGCCTAATTCACTTCTGCATACTTTCTTTCAAAGCTCAGAGCTCCAGGATTATCGTCTGTATCTCTGTCAATTGATTTCTCTTTCTCTTTGAAGAAGGTCTGTGTCACTTGTCTGCCTATGCCTCTATCATACCGGCAAATCCATTCCCGTTTATGTTGTCCACTAGTACTTAAATACCCTTATAAGCTTTAAAACTTGTTTGTGCTACCTCTGTTTGCCCTAGCTAAGGGTTTAAACTAGAGCCCTTGCTGAGAATTTGCATTTCCACCAGAGAGATACTGAATCAAAATCTACATTTTAACAAGATCCCTGGGTGATTCTTATAGACACACAGGGGGTCTTGTTAAAATGTGGATTCTGACTCAGTGTATCTGGGTGCAAAGGCAAATTCACAGCAGGGTGGTCAAACCAGAATGAACTAGTTTGAAGCTTTCTAAGACAGTGCTGTAGTCACAAAGGATATTTCATAAAAATGCTGATTGGCCTACTACTTTCACTGGAACACAATAA